TGAAGACAACTAAAGTATTACGCAATCATCGAACTGTATGTATGGCAAAGTTATCACCACCATTACACTAGAATTTTCAACCTAATCTGTCAAAAGTGAAGGATTTTACCTAATCTGTGTTCAAAGTTTAGACAGAAATCGAAAAGGGGAAAAGGGGAAAAGGGGAAAAACCTGTTGAGTGATGGGAGACGGAGAYGGTGGGCGACAGAGACGGTGAGCGACGACCACCGACGGAGACGATGATCGACGACGGTGAGCAATCAATGGAGGAGCGATGTAAGCTGTGGGAGAAGATGGAGACGAGATCGACGATGGTGAGCAATCAATGGAGGAGCGATAAGCTGTGGGAGAAGATGGAGACGAGATCGACGATGGTGAGCAATCAATGGAGGAGCGATAAGCTGTGGGAGAAGATGGAGAAGATGGAGACGAGAAGATGGAGAAGATGAAATCCCACGGGGATGGGATTTTAAAATCCCATGTATTTTCAAAAGATTTTGAAATCCATAGTTCACGGGATTTTAAATGAATCCTTGGATTTGAAATTCTACCATTCCTACAAACCAAACACAGGATTGGAATGGATTTCAAATCCAAATCCCCCCAAATCCATTCCAATCCCGCAAACCAAACGCACCCTAAGAGTTATTTTGCTCGTAATATTATGCCAATTGAATTCAAGCCGACTAATCCCAAGATGACCACCTGCTTTGCAGATGGCCCAGAGTCACCGTATTTTAACCTCCGTGGCCACAAGAGAATTTTTATTCCTCCTTGGATTTGAACCTGGAACTTCCTGATACTTTTGACCTTTGGAGACAAGCTCAAACCAATTAGGCACCACATTTGTTTAATAATGAAAGAAACTCTTAAGAACAATAATAAGTGAACCAAATACCAAATGTGAAAACTGTGCCTAAGTACTGTTCCCGGGAGTACCCTCAAAAAAAGCCAACCATCGAAATGTATATACTTTAAAAAAAATAAGTGAAGCATGAAAAGAAAGAAAGCCATATACAGGATTTAATTTCATTGCCCAAACTAAACCAAAATTGGGAAAGCATAAAATTAACTAAGATCTTTACAAAAAGCACCTAAACATAGACTACCAAAAAAGCAATCAAGCAAGCACCTCAAAAGGCCTATCATTTGGAAACTACAACTCTCCCTCTCATCTTTATTAAAGAGTCGTTTACCCAACACTTTCACTTAATTTACCGGATAAGATTTTAATCCTTTAAAACGGCATCGTATGGAACATTTTTATCTGGTAAGTGTTTACCGGGTAATATTCTCGGTCCTTGTTATCGTTCTTACCGGGTAAGATTTTCAATCATTGTCATGTTCATACATAAGGTAAAGTGACTCGGTAAGCACTTACTGGTTAAGCGTTTAGTAACGGTCCCTTCCCAAAAAACATACCCAATCTCAAAGGCCTACCATTTTGAAAGTGTAGGGACGGAAAATGTTATAACCACCAAACCGAAGGGACCATTTGTAGTTTACTCATTTATTTACCTATAAGAGATATGCTTGCCAATTGGTCCCCCTCACCTGCACCAAACACAACCATCTTTACTGATCAGTAAATAAACAACATCATGTTCTCAAGGAAAGAAATTCAAAACTAAACCTAATTCACAACTATTCTCTGTTTTTTCTTCTTTAAAAGGGAGTACATTAAAATCCAAGAATAACATAAACAAAATCCCAAGGGTGAGTTTGGTTTGATGGAATGTTTTTGACGGATTTGGAATTTTTGATTTGTAGGATTTGGAATGAAATAGAATTCCATTTTAATATATAATTTGTAAAAAAAATTATATTCACTTCTTATTAATTGAATATTGTAGACGAATGCTTTTAACATATTTTAAAACATTACTACAAACAAATCCTATAAAGTCACGTAAAATACCAGTTACCCCATGGGATTTATAAATCTCATGTTTGTGGGATTTCAAATCCAAGCATTCGTTCAAGCCAAATATAGGATTGGAATGAAATTTAATTTCAAATTCCTCCAAATCCTATCAAATAAAACCAAACGTGGTTGTGGCTGTTTAACAAATTCTTATTGGGTGACACTTATCTGGTAAGCGCTTACCGGTAAAATTCAACACTATCACATACTTACCAGGTAAGGTTTTAGCTCAACAAAATGGTTTCGTATGCAATAATTTACCCAGTAAGTGCTAATTGCAGTAAGAGTCGTCGCCCTCACTTACTGGGTAAGACTCTCGCTCCTTGCCTTCACTCTTACTAGGTAAGATTTTTGGTCCTTGTCACATTCATCCGGTAAGGTAATGTGA